TTCTGTGCACCACTGTCTACGTGAGCCTGCTGTTTACTTCAGCCCCATTCTTTGCCTGTGACCTAAAAAGATGTTGCTGTGTCCTGTGAAACCCATCCAGCTTTTTGTGTCCCAAGTGATGACTGTGTCCCCCTCCCCAGCCACACACGTGCCTATGCCTGGTACATTGTGGCTACTTAACTAGTGGTGCTTGTGGTTAGGCTGGTGGGAGGCTCTGCTCTCAGCCCCTGGGGCCGTTATCTGTCCTGAGATGGCTGCGTACTGACCCCTTCGACTCAAGTCTTCCAGACTTTTTCCAGGGGGCTCCATACTCACGTTGGTGCTGACGCGTGACTTGTATGCGTGTTTTGAGTTCTGCCTGTGGGTGACGGGAGCAGTGGAGGTAGAACCGGAGGTCAGCATCATAGCAACCGGTGTCGCCCCCTAGCTGGTGTACATGGGCTTTGATGCAGTAGTGGCCAAGGCGGCACTGAGAGTGTTCCGAGGCAACGTCCAGCTGGCAGCCCAGACCCTGGCTCACAACGGAGGCAGTCTTCCTCCTGACCTGCAGCTCTCGGCGGAAGATTCCTCCCCAACGCCATCCACCTCCCCTTCGGATTCTGCAGGTAGGTCCGAGGTCTCTGCGTGCCACGCTGAGAGCAGAGTGTTCCGCAGCTTTGGAAGCCGACAGACGGAGCCTGTGCCCTGGGCCAAGGCTGACATGGCAACTTAGAAGGGCGTCTGGGCCAGCTGCCTGGGCAGTGTGGCCAGCAGGAGGCACAGTGGGCTGCCGACTTCGGCCGTGCAATCCCAAGGATTACTCCCCTCACATACTCACTGCTACGCTGTTTTATCGTAGGGACCTCTAGTGCCTCAACAGACGAGGACATGGAGACAGAGGCCGTCAATGAGATCCTGGAAGACATTCCAGAACATGAGGAAGATTATCTGGACTCAACTCTGGAAGATGAAGAAATTATTATTGCAGAGTACCTATCGTATGTAGAAAATATAAAGTCAGCAACAAAGAAAAACTAAATAATGAACAGAAATAAGTACTAAGTTTCCGCTTATAAATGCTATCATTATGAAAAGTCTAATGCAGGTCTTCTTCTTGTTCTTCTTTCTTTTTATCTGATTTTGCTCCAGGAGTGCGTCCTCCTTGGGCATAGAGGGGGAGGAGCTTCCTCTGGCCTGGCTCGGGCTCTTCCCGTCCTGCCTCGGGGCCTGCATCCCTAACCCAGCTCCCCTGCCTGGTTTTTCTCCCAGCAGTGCCAAGGCGGCTTGCTGCTGGCGAGGGGCTGGTCTCTCGGGAAGGCTAATGGGGAGGGGGAGTGTCCAGACCCTCCTCCTCCTCATTTTGCCCAGCTTCCCCACCCTCCAGCCATGCCATCCCTGCTATGCAAGCCCCATGGCTTCCTGTGCTACCCCCACCCCCAAAATCATCCTTTAAATCTTCATTCCAAGTGCTGTGGGCATAAAGATGGGGCTCAGGCCGCGGCAGCCGCACCACTTGGTGGCAGGCGCCCTCAGCCCGGAACATCAGCGTTTTATGCTCCTCGTTCAGTACAAGGTGCACTGGAAATTCAGAGTTGAAAATCAGACTTTATATGTATTCAGAATTCCTCATTATGAAAAGTATTTTATTAAATGGGAAAGTTTTAAATGCTAACCAAAGCAACTTATTTTTAATATTTTTAGACTTTGCTGTCATATTGAACTCACTGCTAGCTAAGAGACCTCTCAGATTTAGATATATTTTCCTCAGGTTTTTCGTGGGGTTTTTTGTTGTATCTGTATGACGAGCCTATTTCTGAAGACACGTAGCCTTTTACTGACGCGTATAACCACTCTCATTGCGCCACGCATTCCTCTATAGACGTAGTAATGGAAAACCTTCCACCCAGGACTGGCGGCAGCAGCCAGGTGCTGAGTGGATCAAGTGCCAGATGTGTTCTGAGACTTCCTCCCTTCTAGCAGTTGCTGGAAGCTCCTGACTGACAGCAGGGTGGGCCGTGTGTTGCTTTCAGGGGGCTGGCTGAAATGCTCCAATTTTTTCATAAAGTATGGACAGTCTGGTTTGGACCAGCAGGAATACTGTCATTCTTTTAAAGTGGATGATATCGATGGAAATAAAAGGTGGAAAATATATTCAACAGTTGTCAGCCTTGACTTTGCAGCGAGTTACTCGGATTCCTCAATTGTTTTAAGTATTGAAAACGTCTGGGTCACCCAGAGCTTCATTTCAATTCCAAGGTGTTCGTCCCGTTGAGTTTTGCGAGGAGGTGGAATGAGCACCCTCGAGCGGTGGTGTCTGCCACAGACAGGCCCGCGTGGAAGGCGGGGCTCGGTGGCTCTCGGAAGGAGCATGCCTCAGCAAGACGGGGGTGGAAACGCACCTGTCAGCGTGGCCTCGGACGTGGCCAGCGAACCAAGGTAACGGGAGTCTCTCGGCCTCGTGAGATGATGTCAGGCTCAGATTTGGGGCCTGAATTGAAGCTCCTGGCTAACAAGCCACCGTCCTGGGCTTGGTTCTGGGCATGGCTTTTGTTGTCCCAACTGTTTTTTGATGATCATGGAGAAGGCTAGGGCCGCACAGCCACGCTGGCAGGCCCCTGTTCTCGTCCAGTGGCGGAGGCGGGCAGTTCTGGGTATACAGTATACGTCCACGCGTGGCTGTCGTCTCCAGGAGTGGAGACCTAGGCCCTGGGCCGGCTGTGCCCAACTGGTCGTGTGAAACAGGGAAGGAGGGTGCTGGGGCCAGAGGGGCAGAGGCCATCACAAAGGACAGGCGTCTTGGGAGGGTTCTCCTTAGGATCATAGGACAAAGGAGAACATTTTGGACCTGGGACAAAAGAGGCAGCATTGAGTGGGGTTAGGACATGTTCACAAGGCCTCAGGGATGGTTCTGGACCCACCAGAGGTGGGGGGAGAGAAGAGGGTGGACGGTTGCTGAGTCCATCATGGCGCACCCTGGAAGGCAGGCGGGGGTTAGGTTTGATGCCATTGAGGACTGGAGGAGGGGTGCACATGGATGCAGGGAGGGCAGGCGAGGGCTGTGCAGGACGTAATCAGCTGTCCTTGATGCTGATCCCTTTGCTTGTTGAACTACTCTGGGCTCTGGTGACACTGCCCTGTCCCTGTTTTCTTCCCATAGGTCCTACAGATAGTTCCTATCCTCCGTCTCCTAGCCAGCTGAATAGATTTATCAAAGGCAGATGGTCTCTTCCTTTATAGCAAGGTGTTGGGGTGTGGCTGGACGGGGACCCAGGTTCGGGGGAGTACTGCACTTACCACGTCTCTCAGGCTGTTGGGCAAAGAAATAACAGACATCTCATCTCTATATCCTCAGCATCTAGCAAAGGTCTCTGTGCTGTCGAAATAAAAATTACTCAAATGTGTTACGCTATAGAAACACAAAAATGCAGCAGCCCACGTTTTAGGGTCTGCACCCAGCCGGATGTGTATTCTAGTCTGCCATGGCTGGACAAGACGGGGATGCGAGATGACACAGGAGCAAGAGTCTGAGGTGCAAATGTAGTATCACCTGTTGGCATCTGTGAGCATCTTCTGTGGGCAGAGGAGGCTCTGAGAACGGAATATCCCAAAAGGCCCAGGACTCGCTCCTCCAGGAGTGCTCACAGGCGGTACTCAAGGTCGTTTTCTCTGCCTGCACTTCCTGGAGAGTCACTGGGGTGTCGGGAAGCCCCTTTTGGGTGGGCATGCCCCTCCTGCCACACAGCAGGACCTGGCCCCCCCACAGGTCCACGTGTGCTTAAGTCCCACCCAAAGAACAGCGCGTGGGTTCTCGGGCAGCGATTCTTCTTGCTCACCAACAAGCCTGTTTTCCTGGGGGGCTGCTTGGAGGTTTGGCCTAGAGCACGATCACAAACGTGCACGTCCCTCCTACTGCCCAGGGTGCATCAGCCGGAGGGGTAGATCCGCCCGTTAGGCCTGGGCGCCCCAGAGAGTAGGCGAGCCCTGCCGGGCAGCAGCCATTGCGGAAGAAACACCTATAGTGATGACAAAGCTCACCCTTCTCTACCCCAGGGGCTGCTTCTGCACCGGAGCTGCTCTTTTGAGGCCAGATGCCGAGCTCTCAACGGCAGACAGCGGCATCTGGGGCTTCTCTTCCTGCACCAGGGGCCAGCCAGGGCCTGGCACAGGACATCCTGGATGCAGAAAGCAGCAACCACGGGCGTCAGTGTCCCCTTCAGGTGCTGCCAGGGGCGCTGAGGGAGCCTCCGCAGGATCTCTCTGCAGACGGAGCCCTGCTCCCCACTAGGGTGCTTGGTGGCTCCAACGTATGTCCTGCGTCTCCACACGCTGGCACAGTGCTGGCTCCTGCGCATGAGGCTAGGGGGTGCTGCTACTCCAGACCCTGAAGAAGAGGCCTGCTCCAAGGCAGGGGTCCCCGCTGTCACCTGGACAGGCTAAAGAGCCAGGTCCTTGTTCCCCAGGGCCACCCCCCCACCACAGGAGTGACATTGGTGGCAGCCCCGCATCTCGCCCACAGAAGAGGTGGCAGAGAGAGGCAGCCAGCTGCCCAGGTTCCTGGGCCCCTAGCTCTGAAGGCTGAGACAGTTTGCAAAACAAAACAGGACATACTCAGCACTTTGAAGGATGTGTATTTCAGTTCTTCACGAAGGTCCTCATGACAGATGATTTGCCAAAATAATCAGGCTCAGTGGCTTTTGTAAAAAGTCCTCATTCGTTCTCAGCAGGAAAAGCTCAACCTATGGGGCTTGGGGAGCTTGGGCTGTCAGCCCTGAGACCCTGAGAGTGGGGGAGTCCCAGGATCAAGGGGAGGGGGACAAGGCCTGTAGCCTCAGCAGAGGGTGGGGCAGACGAGGAGGCTACAGGCTTGAGAGGGGTGGAGAAGGTGGAAGGGGTGGAGAACACTCAGGAGAGGGCTTTGGAAAGTCTCCGAATGCCAAGGGAGAAAGCAAGCCCAGGCCGCCGGGCGCAGACAGGGTGGCCGCTGTCACTGTGCTCCGTCTGTGGAGGGCGGCGGGCCGCGGTCAGGCCGGCGGCAGGGGCGCGGCGGCGCAGCCCACCTTGTTGCTGAAGAGGCGCGGGAGGCTGCGCTTGGGCGGCGCGGGGCGCGGGCCCGAGAGCCCGCGCACGTCCCACAGGCGCAGCGCGCCGTCGTGCGAGGCGGTGTAGAGCACCTGGCCGTGCACCTGCGGGCGGGCGGCCGCTCAGCCTGCGCCCCGCCCCGCCGGACGCCTCCTGGGGGCGACGGGGCTGCCCCCGGCCCGCGCCTACCTGCAGGCAGTTGATGACGAAGGCATGGCCCCGGAACACCCTCTGCAGCTGTCCCGACTGCGCGTCGAAGGCGCGGGCGCAGGCGTCCCCGCTGCCCGTGAACACTGTGAACACACAGGGGCATGCTGCGCCCTCCCGGCCCGCCCCCGCCTTCTCCCGGGAGGCAGGGACCGCGCGGGAAGGGCGGTGCAGCCTAACGTCCAGGACTGGGGTTCCTCATCCCCCTGCCTCACGGGGGTGTCCTAAGACCCGATGGCAAGTAGGCAGAAGTGTCCTGAAAGGAGCCAGGGTCACCTGTGTTACCTTGCCACATCCTGCGGGTTCAGAATAGCGAGGCTGGAGGGCCCCTCCTCGGTCTGCAGACAGCCCTGGTCGGCCTGTGGCCACCACGCCTTTCGTGGGCTTCGGGTCAGCCTGTGCCGTCCCTCCAGGTGGCCTGTCCCTCCTGGGTACCTCTTGGGCCCGGGTCCCCACTCTCATGCCCTGTTTGGTGAGGCTGCTTTTCTGCCTGGGGATAACTGGCCTGTCCTTGGAGCGCCTTCCCCTCCCCCCACCTCCTGAGCAGGCTCATCCTCCCCCTCCTGAGAGGGACTTGGCCCTGGAAACAAAAGCCAGGCCCTCTGGGGTGCACGAGAACATTCCCTGGGACTCCTAGCAGGACACGCCTCCACCCTGTCAGCCTTTTCCTCCAGGCTCCGCCTCTCCTGGGGCTTTTCCTACATCATAACCCTGTTTGCCAGCCTCAACCTGCAGCAGTCACCCGGGGGGCTTGTTAGGACAGATTGCTGGGCCCCGCCCCAGAGTCTCAGGTTTAGCAGGAAAGGCCCGAGGATTTGCGTTTCTAACTAGTTCCAGGAGCGCCACTGCTGCTGGTCAGGGGACCGTGCTAACGCGGACCTGAGGAACTCGCTTGTCTTAGGTGGGGCTCTCAGAAGCCCGACCCTGACAGGGGCATTTGATGCAAACAGTTCACACGCAGGCATTCCAGGAAGGGGAGGAGGAAACCCCTGGGCTCCGTTAATGAGCAGGTAACCGCTGTGGGCAGCTGGGTTCACTTGTGCCGGGGGCCCCAGGGAGAAGGTGCAGCCCACCTGGGGGACAGGGATGGGCTACTTACCAATTCCCACCAGCCATCAGTAAGGGAGCTCAGTGGGTGTCAAACCCTAACACTGCCTGGGGCAGTGACTGCCCCTCACAGGAGTACCTGCGGCTGAGCAGGGGCCCCACCCACCGGAGGCAGACACCAGACAGGGCCCTGGAACAGCAGCTGGGCCTCCTGGGGCGGGGGGAGGGTCAGGAGCACGGTCTGTCATCCTGTAGCCTTATTGGCAAAGACCAAAGACCAAGCTCCGCCCACAGGATTCTCTTCAGCTGCAGGTTCTGTGCTGGCTGCTGCCCAGGGGTGCCACTCTAGGTGGCTGCCGGGGGGAGCCTGAGGGCAGAATGTTCTTCATGCTCAATTAGAGGTCCCAGGTGTGGCAGAGCCCTAATCACACTTACAGGCTTGGCCAGGGGAAGAAAGAAAAAATAACGTTCCTGTGTTAGACACCCAAATCCCGAGGGCATGCCAGGCTCTATTCTCGGAACTCTGCATTCTACCTTCATCTAACACCTTCATCTGACACCTTCGCTGTGAATCTTCTGCCGCCCTGTCTCCTCCCTCCCAGGGCTAGGAGACACCCTCAGGCCCAGCTACCTGTGGGGCTGAAATACAAGGGGAAGGGGAGGGTGATAGCAAAGCACGAAGCTGGGGACTGTTCTGGGAGCCACAGTCCTGAGGAGTGTGGTGAGCTTGGGGGCTGTCTGGGGTGTAAGTGTGTCCAGCCAGTTGGACGGAGCCAGCAAGGCCCAGGTGTGTCACAATTTGAGACCAGTGGGACAGACAGCTCATTGCCTGCTCAACAAGCCACTCTGCCCTTCTCTCTTTCCAAGTAACCCTGACTCAATCTTGGCAGCAGTGTCCTCAGATAAAAGACTTTGATTCAGTCTGTCTTGCAAACTGTGGTCAGAAAGGCACAAGCCTTTGAGGAAGGCTTCCAGGAAAGATCCTGAAGGGGCCAGCTCAGCTAGAAGATACGTTCTTTTGCCCTTCCCTCCTTTCCTTCCTGCCTAAAACATGACATGATGGCTGGAGCTGCAACAGCCGTCTTGAACCATAAGGCTCCCTTGAAGATGAAGGATACATGCTAAGGATAATGAAACAAAGTGACAGAAGGAATCTCAGTGCCTGATGACTTTGCAGAGCCACCTAGTCCTGCCTACACTGCCAGCCTCTGAAATCCTGCCTGAGAGAAAAATAAACTACTACTCTTAAACCACAGTTATCTGGATTTTTCTTATCTGTAGTCAAACCTAAGGCCAAGTGAAGCCAAGTCCTCAAGTCTGGCTGGATTAAGTGGGTGTCACTGTCTCACCTGGAAAATCAGAATGTGTCCTCGAGACATACTTTTGACCCTAGGACCTTCAAATATTCAGGTCTCCCCACATTCTCACAGGGTAAATGTTGGGGGGGCCCAAACCCTTATTTGGACCTTGGTTGCAGAAGAGCTGGAGGAACAGGTTCAAGGAGAAGGAACAGCTGCTGCCTTTGGGCGCTGCAATCCCGGATGGCAGCAGAGGCTCATTGAGGTAACGTCAGGCAGGAAGGAAAGGGAGAGAGGAAAAGCCAGGATTTGGTTGGAGGGAGGGGCAAGGCCTCTGAGTAGGCCAGAGCTGAGTGGACGGCGTGGGGACAGGTCACTTACAGGTGCCCTCGTGGTACTTGAGGGCGCTCACGCTGTGTCTGTGGGCCGCGAACGTGCACACGTGCTCCCCCGTGTCTGCCAGCCAGCACTTGGCGGTCCTGTCCGCACTGCCCGAGTAAACGAGCCGGTTCACGAGCTGGGAGGAGGGGCAAGGAAGGTTGGCCACTGCCAGGCACGGCTGACCTGCAGCAGGGTGGCTCGGGAGCCCCCAGACCCCTCTCTAGAGCAAAGTGCACGTGCAGGTCTCGGGGCCGAAATCGGGGGATGAGCCCAGAATGACCCTGCCCCAGGCCCCACCCCACCACTCACTCTGCAACCAAAAGCAGGCGGCTCCTCCCTTCCCCGCGGCCAGGGGGCAAGCAGGCCGCTGACAGACTGGCCACCAATCCTCACTTTGGCCTGGCCGAGTCCCTGGCTCTCTGTCCCCCTGCTGCTGAGCCCGTGGAGGACAACGCTGACAGCACCTTCCCTGAGGGGCTGTGAGGGTTACAGATACTACGCTAACAACCTCAACGGTTCAAGCCTACAGTCTGGTTGAGAAAAGGGCTCTGGGGGAAATGATCTCACACGGGCTTTTGCTTGCAGAAGGGCAGAGGGGAGAGGCTGGTCTGGGGCAAGGGTGTGAGGTAGGCTCCTGCCAGGACTGAGCTGACTGCCAGCGGCGTCACAGGGTCGCTGCTCCCCCCAACACAGGGCTGCCACCTGATAGGGAGGGAAGAGGACCCAGGGGATGGGCTTGCCCAGCCACTGAGGCTGCTCCTGCTCCGTCTCACAGGAGGTGAGGGAGGGGCCCCTGCCAAGACGGACAGCCCCAGGGAGGTGCAAAGACTGCTGAAGTATGACAGTTCTGTGACACCCCCACACCCAGCACCGCCCTGCAGCACCTCTGGCCGGCAGAGATGTGGACAAGGAGCCAGGGTGGGCAGGGCTCCTTGCTGCAGTGACCTGGCACAGCAGCACATGAGACAGCAGCAGGCTACAGGCCCACAGGGGCCACCAAGGACCACTGCTGGGGGCCCAGAACCAGGAACTGGGGGCAGATGAGGCACGCAGGGCCCTTTTCTTGCAGACAGCGCGCCCAGGGTCAGTTCACACTGGCCACCGATAGTCTGAACTCGTCCCTCCTAACCTGCCCATCACGGCCACACTCTGGGCCACTTTCCACATCCGTTCCCATGGCTGACTCAGTTTCCCCATACAGGTCCCTATTCAAATCCCAGCAGACAGGCCTCCAACCAGCCTGGCTCATCTTTCTACCCTGGCTACAGCCCAGGTTTAAGGAGTTAAGAGGCTTCAGGCCAGTCGCCATGGCCAGAGGGTGGTGGGATCCAGAGGCCACAGTGCGGCCTTCCTGGAAGCTGAGGCCGTGGGGTGTTTCCCAGGGACGGTCACCTACTGTGTCTCAGGCCCTGCCCTGAAGCCCTGTGAGGGCTATGGTTGGTCCCAGCCCACGTGGCCTCCCTGACTGGATGGTCCACTCCCCAAGGACAGGAATCAATGCAACCACCCACCTGTCCACATCAGCGCCAGCAGGATTCCAGAACATTCCTGCATGCACACCTCTGGCTGTGTGCTCCGCCCAGGGGCACGGTTCCTGCCATCAGCAGGAAAGTCAGAGAGGCTTCCAGAGCCTGTCCAGCACACAGCTGCTCCTCACGGCTTTCCGCAGCCCCTCTGCTCCCTGAGGGAGACCCCCCTCCACCACCAGCCTGGTGTACGGAGGCCTCGCGCAGCCAGCTTCTCTGGCCACAGCCACTGGTTTCCAATTCACACACCTGCTCCAAGCACACCTGTGTCCGCACTGTCCCCAGGTTTCTTACAAGTCCTCCCTGCCCAGAAAGTCCCACACCCCGATCCTCCCCCCTTCTTCATAGGCAAGTGCAGAGGGCTCCCAAGCCATCCCCCGAAACTCCCCTCACGCAGCCCCCAGTACGCTGCATCTGCGTCCTGGACGCCAGGCTGACCGCTGCGGGCCCAGTGTGTCCTGGCCATGCCCCCCGCACACCAGCTCCCAGAGCCTGCAGTGCCCAGGCCTGTGGCTCTTGGCGTCTGAAGGGGGGCGGGGGTGGGCAGAAGCCTTGAGATTGGGACCCCTGTGGGCTCCACACAGCTTGACCCCCACCAAAGAGGTTCGCTGGGCGTCCAGGGCTGTGAGGACAAAGGGAAGTCCCTCCTGTCCGCCGACAGCCCGTCCTGACGACATGGGGCCTGTCGCCACTGCGGTTAAAGCCGAGCAGGCGGTGCGCCTCCAGAACACAGACCCTGGGCCCCCGCGGGCCGGGGTGGCACCTGCGCCTCTCCCTTCACCCTGGCTGGCTCCTGACAGGACACCACAGGGAGGCCCGAGGTAGACGTGGGAGGCAGGACAGACCCTGGCAGGGACAGGCCAAAGGGCTAGGTCCTGAGGGGCTCCCCGCAGCTCTCAGAATCCCGGGTTTCGGCACCAAAGATGTCACAACCTGAGTTGCAGCATTTCTACCTGCGTCACGGCATGGAAGACGTCAGGGTGGGAGTGCACCCTCGGTTCCTGGCCGAAGAATGACCAGACACAGCAAAGTGTCACGTCCAGACTATCATCCCAGTCCTCTGCCTCCTTTCTTGGAGGAATCACCAGCAGGGCCAACACGACGGAGGAACCCAGGCCGCAGCGTCACAGAGCAGCTCTTTGCTGTAGAGCGAAACCGACTTCGTCCGAGAGCGGAGACTGACCCGCTCGCCCGCTTCTCGGATCGTTTCCTCTTATTAGCCCGGTCCGGAGGCGGGCTCTTGGAAGGTGTAGGATGTTATCAAACGAGCAACACGTGTCCTAAAAATTCCATCTGCCTGTATGAGCTCCCTGTAAGAAAGCCCACCTGGGGGGTGAACGGCAATGCAGATTCAAGCTAATGGCATATTAATCGCCCTCAAGTCACTCCAGGTCACTTTCTAAATCTTACTGCGCCCTGGCTGGGGAGTTCCTAGATTGGTAGCGCAGGCCCTCCCTCCCCAGGTGCAGCAGTTGCTGGAGATAGGATTGCGGGTGGGGCCGCACCAGAATGGAGTGCCCGCTCCATCCTCCTTCCCAGGTGGAGCAGTGGCTCCGCACAGCCCCAAAGCAGGGAACCCTGTCCCAAGAAGAGCCCAAGACTCTAACTACCTACCGAACACAACCACAGCCGCTCTGAGACTCTCCTTGGGATGCGATCCACCAGAGCTGCTGAGAGGTCCCTGGAGGCATGGGTCCCTGGGCCCCATGGCAGTCCAGGCAGCAATGCAGGGTCACAGCTCACCAGCTGCTTCCTGGCCTCGCGTGCACAGCCAGCCCTCGCACAGCCAGCCCTCGCACAGCCTGGTGCTCCTGGGCACAGCTTTCGGATATGGACAGTCCTGGCTGCAAATCCTGCCTACCCCTTAGCAGCTGTGAGGTGGTGGGCAAGTTATTAATGCTTATCTGCCCCAGCTTCCGTTGTTTCACGTGCAAAATGAGAAACGCCATCTCTCAGGAGGTGGCCTAGAGGGTGGATGTGTTGCCGCACGTGGCACTGAGCCCAGGGGCCGGCCTGAACACAGTGCTCTCATTATCCCTAAAATGCAGGCGAAATCTCTGCCCCCAGCTCCCTGGGGCTGGGCGAGGCGGGCTTTTGCAAGCAGAGAGAGAAGCCTGCAAAACTTTGCTGCTGCAATCGGCAGAGCCCTATCCGGGCCACTGCCCCCACCCGGCAGTGCCTTGCTTTCTCGCTCTGGCGGGACTTGAAATGCTTCATTTCGTTTGCTTTTCTGTCCTTTTCTCCCTTCCCTTCCTTTCCCTTTTCCCTCCCTCCCTTTCTTTCTTCCTTATTTTTTTTATTTTTTTTTTTCTTTAGAGACAGAGTAGTCCTGCTCTGTGTGTCGAGCCCCAGGGGCAGTCACTGCATGTCCCCACTTTTCAGAGC